GGCTGCTTTTTTAAAAATTCATTGGGCTGGCCCGGTGGCGCACTGCTACAGGGCACCGATTGGGAGCTCGGCGGCGCTCCCCCCCAGGGGTCGGGTCCCACATACAGACCCGTTCCCGCTCACTGGCTGAGCGAGGTGCGGGAGCAACACTGAGAGTTGTGATCCCGTTGCCGGTCCTGGTCCGGTACGGGTGCGACACTGATGGTTGCGATCCGTTGCCGGACACGAAAAAAGAAAAAAAGGAAAGTAAATAAATAAATAAATAAAATAAAAAATAAAAATTCATGAATAAGTGTTAAACCTTATCAAAAGATTTTTTTTGCATTAAATGAGACAATTATTTGTTGTTGTTAATATGAATTGCAGTGATTGACTTTCAAATGATAAAAGAGTCTAACATTCCTAGGATAAACTCCAGCTGCTCTGGATTACTGTCTTTTTAATATTGACAACTACGTACCATGAGCTACTATTTTGCTGATGATTTTCACATCTATGTTCATAGATGATATCGTTTTGTGATTTTTTTCTTTGCTAATTTTCTTTCCAGAATTTGGCATCAGGGTAATACTTTCCACATACAATGAGTTGATAGGGGTTTCCCTACGACTTTTATTTCAATGGTATTTCTCTCTTGCAAAAATGTGGTTCGATTCACCTGTGAAACCACCCAGACCTATAGCTTTTGTTTGTTTATTTTTGTTTGTAGTGATTTTTCTTCACCATAAACTAACAGAATGAAGAAGATTTGGCTTTTGTCTTATTGGTTCTACCCTTTGGCTTATAATTCATTTTCCATAAGTAAGAGCCCTTTTCACATCTGAGTGGCTTTATCAGCCTGTTTCTAGTTGATTGGTGACCAAAGGTCATATGCACTATCTTAATTACTTTCAGTCTGAGCTGATATAATTCCTTTAAAATGTAAGTTTGTTGTGTATTAAATAAAAAATACACTCCATTTAACAAAGTCCCCACCTACAAATCCCTTTGGAATAAGACTTTCTCTGTTTTGAACCCTGGTGAGGCTACTACAGAATAACCAACTTAAAATTTGTAGTAGCCTTATTGTTTGAGAGTTTTTATGAAGCATCTTCATAAAATACTTAGAAATCCTTTTATACAGATGGGAGGATCTCTAAGAGACATCGACTTAAGTTTTTATGAGGTTTTAACAGAGATGTTTGCAGTCAAATGCTTGACTTCATTTTTATGAGATATAATTTTATTGCTTAAAATTTCAAACTTGGTCTTCAGCCATTTTTTACTCATAAAGCTTTTAGAAAGAACAAAAGAATTCAGTAAAATTGCAGGATGAAAAATCAACATACAAAAATCAGTTGACTTTTATATGCCAATAGTGAATTATGTACAAAAGAAATAAAGAAAGCAACAGCTTTACAAGACACACACACACACACACACACACACACACACACACACACACACCCTAGGAATAAATTTAGCCAAAGAGATAAGAGATCTATACAGTGAAAACTACAAGATATTAATTAAAGAAATTCAAGAAGACAGAAATAAATGGAGAGATGTCCTGTGTTCATTGTCTGTAATAATAAACATTGTTGAAATGTCCATATTACCCAAAGCCATCTACAGATTCAATGCAACCCCTATAAAAAATACCAGTGACATTCTTCACGGAAATAGAGAAAACAATCTGAAAATTCATGTGAAACCATGAAAGGCCCCAAATTACCAAAGCAATCTTGAGCAAAAAGAAGAAAGCTGAAGGCTTCACATTTCCTGACTTCAAAATATGCTGTAAAGGTACAGTAACAAAATAGCAAGATAGTGGCATAAAAACAGATGAATAGAGCAACAGCACAGAATAGAAAGCATAGAAACAAACCAACTCACTTACAGCCAACTCTTCTTCAACAAAGGTTCCAAAAACACAAATTGAAGAAAGACTAAGCTCTTCAATAAATGGTGCTAAGAAAAGAATTGCCACATGCAAAAGAATAAAACTAGATCCCTGCCTCTCACCATGTACCAAAATAAACTCAAAATGGCTCAGAGACTTAAATGTAACACCCAAAACTATGAAACTACCAGAAGAAAACATAGGGAAAATGTTTTGCGACATTGGTTGGAGCAAGGATTATTTAAGGAAGACCTCAAAAGCTCAAGCAACAAAAACCAAACAAATAGGACTACATAAAACTAAAAAGCTTCTACACAGCAAAAGAAACAATCAACAGACTGAACAGAAAACGTACAGAATGGGAGAAAATATGTGCAAACTATGCATCTGATGGGGGGTTAATATCCAGAATACATAAGCAACT